GGTTGGAGCGCTGCAAAGCTAAGCCAAGCCGTGGCTGCTGCAGTGCGAGTTCGATCCCCGCCGTGGAGCTGACCCACAGGGTGCAGCAGACCCCTCCTGACCCCCCGCTGCTCCCCTCAGCAGTGTACTTCATTGATCTGCCTGTTCTGCTCCCCACTCTGTCTCTGGTGAAGCCTCTCGCCGTCCCTGAGCCTATGGCCTGCACCCCATTTCTGTATGCATAAATAAACCTTTAAATAAATCAACCTTTATTTAAATCAACCTTTAAATAAATAAATGTGACGGGCGGGGGAGGCCTCACTGACCACGTGCCACGATCGCTGAGGATCAAGTGGGTGAGAAGCACCCACTAAGGGACACCCACAGGGACACCCACTCTCCCACTAAGGGGAGAGTGTTTTCAGAGGAAGCAGCAAGTGCAAAGGCCTGAGGTGGACAGGTCCCGGCAAGCTGGAGCCTCAGCGAGTGAGCAGAGGAGAATGAAGGTGCCTTGCAGAGGACGCAGACCCCTCGCTGCTGTGGGGGGGCTTTCGCCCTCAGCGAGTCCCGGCCTGGAAGGGCTACCCACGGGTGGGGTGACGGTGGAGGCGAGGAGGGCTCAGGGAGGAGGGGGCTGCAGTGCCCGGAGAGGTGCTGGTGGCCTGGGCCAGGGTGGTAGCTGTGGAGTGATGGGGACCCCCAAGTAGTGGGAATTTGGGGGAGGAGCCACAGATCGCTTGTGGGGGAGATGAGGGGTGTAAGAGAAACTGCCAAGGTCGACCTGAGGCTTGGGCGGCAAGAGGGAGCTGTCAGGGTGGGAGATGGGGAGATGGGGGGTGGGGGGGGCCGAGCAGCTGGCGGAGGACAAAGAGCCTGGCTGAGACTCCTGCGGCCGCGAGCCTGCCTGCGTGTGCGCCCGGAGCCGGCGCCTGGGCGAGACCCCAGTGGCCTTGCGCCACCGGGCTGGCTGGAATCTGCAGCTCCTTGTCTGGGTCGGGCGTCTCCCACGTCAACGTGCACAGCAGTGCTGGAGCACCTTGAGTAAATGTAGCTCCCCATTCAGGCGGTGGCCTGGGAGATGCTTGGGCCCCGCCGGCAGAGCAGCACCGGCCTAAGGCGTCGGACGAGGGGCGCCTGCAGTGAAGAGGCTCGGACTCAGCTCCTGGGAGAAGACGCACAGCAGGCTCGGAACGTTTCGGGGTTAACAGAGCCCGAGGTCCAGGCTCCAGGCACGATGTCACAGCCAGGGAGGAAACCTCTAGGGAGGGTGTCAGAGCACAGAAGCAGGGCCTGAGCGTGGGGGCGTGTGGGGGAGCCAGGAAAGAGACAGATGAGGTGACCAGGGAGGTGGGGGGAGCACAGGGACAGAATGTTCTGGAAGCCAAGGGAGGAAGAGCAGGCTCAGGCTGTGCTCTCCTGCGCTGCTGCCCAGCCCTGCGGCCATGCACCAGCACAGGTGGCCGTGGGCGGGGCGGGCGAGTGTGGCCGTGGCCGTGGGCGGGGCGGGCGAGTGTGGCCGTGGCCGTGGGCGGGGCGGGCGAGTGTGGCCGTGGCCGTGGGCGGGGCGGGCGAGTGTGGCCGGGGCCGGGCAAGTGGCGTGGCGTGGCTGGTCCGATTCCCGCGCTGGCTTTGCGGCTCCTGTGCCAGCAGGCTGCCCACCTCCACACTGTGCAGATGAGGAGACTGAGGCCCAGGACAGGGAAAGGCCGGGCGGGGCAGAGCCCGACTCCGGCTCCCAGGTCAGCGCTCGCTCTCCCCTGACCCCACTCTCTCCCCAGCCTGAGTGGATCCGGCCCTGCTGGGCTCAGCCCCTGGCTCCAGGCCGGTGCTGGAGACAGACAGCCTCCTGGGGGCCCCTGGGGGCCGCCTCAATGCCTCCGGTGGCCTCGGGCCAAGGGTCGACGTGCTCTGGCCCTTCCTGCAGCCGGCCCCCGCCAGCCAGTGCAGACCCGGCCACCTGCCTGCCGTGGGCCGGGCCAGGGAGGGGCCACGTGTCTCCGGCGTGTGGCTCGGCCCCCCTGAAACGTCTGCCTCAGACAGACCCCACAGGAAACAGATGGCACGCTCCAGGGGGACAGAGGGGAGACGGTGGACGGGCTGTGTGTGTGAGCAGGGTGTCGGGAAGCACAGGGGCCCGGCCGAACCCCAGGGCAGCACCCAGCACAGACCCCGGCTGGCAGCGTGAGGGCTCCGGCCCCTCCGGGCCTGATGGGCCTCGTGGAGATGCCCTGGCCAGGGTTGTGGCCTTCAGCAGAGGGGGGTGGCCCATTTACGTGACCCTGCAGGGAGGTGGCGGGAAGAGGAATTGTCCCCTCTCTCGGGCCCGCCGGGTGGACCGATGTGGCCATCGGCACAGAGAGTGCATCTGGGGGGCCGACGGAGCGCAGCTGGCCTGAGGTCTGTCTCTGGTGCACGCCAAGCCTCCTGGGGACAGTCGCCTAACCTGGGGCCTGACCCCAGGAGCAAGACCTTCCTCTGTGCCTCGGTTTCCCCATGCCTCCGCGAGCCCCGCCTTGCCTCACTGCTGTAAGGGCGTCTCAAGGCCGCGCCCAAGCGTCCTGAGCTCTGTGCCGGGGGAACGGTGGTGAAGGGGCATCTGAGTGCCCGCTAGGGGCACCTAGTCCTCACCCCACACAGGGATGGGGATGGGATGGGGAGGCCGGGGTGCCGTGAAGCTGCGGTGGCCCCCCTTCCACCCCTGGGGTCCGCCTCTCTTCCCTCCTCCATGAGGTTCCTGGGGCCAGGGCCACAGCCCCTCCCTGGCGGCTCCGTCCCTGCAGCTGGCTGCAGCGTCCAGCTTCCCAGGACCTTCCAGGAGGCGGGGGGTGAATGGTGCGGTGTGCAGGGGAGAGGGAGGGAGGGCAGCTTGGGTGGGGCCCCCACTGTGGTGCTGAGCGCCTGACGTCCACTAGGGCAACGACCCCCTCAGCCTGTGACAGCCACAGCCCAGGTGTCACTGTCCTCTCCAATTCGGCTCAGGGGTGGCTGCGGGAGGAAGCTGACCCTGGAGCCAGCAGCCGTGGGGTCCCACTTTCCACTGGGGCCACTTAAGCCGGGGGGATCTTTGTGCGCCCCCTCTTCTGTGGAGGGTTTAATGGCGGAGTGGCTGCTGGTTTCTCGGGCTGGGAGCTGGTAAGGTGACCGCCTAGGCGTGGCGCGCAGGGAGAGTTGGGCCCCAGGCCGCAGACCCTGTGGAGAAGGGCGGCCTGGGGAAAACTTACCAGCACCCACCAGTCCCCACCGGAGTCCCCGGGCTCTCCGCGCCCACTTCCCGGCCTGCTGGGTGTGGCCGGGTCTCCTGGGACCCACACCTGGCACCACAGCCGCGGGCTGGCCTACTGAACCTTCTCCCAGTGCCCACATGAGGACCACACCCTCCTTCCTGCCCCCAGTCCACTCCCTCCGTGGAGGCCTGGAGGCCTCAGCCTTCTGCTCCCTCCCTGGGCCTCCATTTCCCCACCTGTGACCCAGGACGGCATAGAGAGAGCGACCCCTGGGGCTACCCCTTGGGCCCCCAGCTATGCCTGCCTTCTCCCGGCCCAGCGCTACCAGGCTTTCTGCTCCCACGCCCACCCGACTCCCTGTGGCCTTCGCTCAAGCCCTGGCCTTCCAGGCCCCTCCCTGAGCAGGGCCAGACTCAGCCTCCCGGGCTTCCTGGCCCCCACCACACCCTGCTTGTGCCCTGGTGGTCTGGCTGCTTCCTGCCTCCCTACCTTTCCTGGGGCTCACCCCCTTGCCCCTCGCTCTCCCTACCCACCACAACTTTCTCCCTCCCTCCCCCCACCCCTATTTTCAAGCTTCCTCCTCAGCTCCCTCAGGCCTGACCCTCGGCACCCCATCATGGGCATCGTTGCCACTTAAGATTCGCCGAATGAGCAGTTCTGGGGTGGCCTCGCAGATGGGGGAGCACCATCTGGCTTGTGCTGTCCTGGCCTGGCCCCTGGGCCTCCAGGCAGGCAGGCTGCACCCACTTTATAAACAGGGGTGCCAATTTTGAGGGGACTTGCCCAAGGTCTCTGAGCAAGGAGCAGGATTCTGAGCCCAGGTCGTTGATGTCAGAAATGCTCAGAGCCCCCCAAGGAGGGGCTCACACTAGCGCGTGGCCCTGGGTGGATTCCTGGCTCTCTGGGCCCTGAGACCTCAGCCCCAGCTGCCACGCGGTGCCAATTTGGGTGTGTTCCGTCACTATCCTGGGCCTGCCTCAGTTTCCCTGCCAGCACAACACGGGAAGAGAGCCTGGGGCGTGCTCGTGGGAGCACCTTGGTGCCCGATGAGACGGGCTTGAATCTGAACCCAAGCCTGGAACCACTTCTCTCATCCAGCCTCGGTTTCCTCATCTGCACAATGGGAGCACAGAGTTCACGTGGGCTCTGAGTTCCACACACACCTTGTGGGGGCTAGAGCCCAGCCCCCCAGGGGCCCCTGGTGGGCTGTAGAGTGACGGGGTTCTATCTGCCCCCCCCCAGGCTGCCAGATGTACCCTGTACCCAGCCGGCCCTGCAGGCGGTGGGGTGGGGGTGTGGGAGATGAGTCTGGAGCCTGGGCCCTCCCACCCCACTGCCTCCACCCCCCTCTGCTCCCCGCCCCCCCCAGGGCCCCCCACCCATCCACACAGCCTGTGGCACTTCCTCTCCCAGCCTGGCAGGCGGCCTGGTCCGGCCCCTTCTCTAAGGAAGCGCGTTTCCTGCCTCCTGGCTGGGCTGGATGAGCCCGGAGCTCCCGCCACTGCGGTCATACCCCAGCCTCCCTCTGCACCCACTGGCCAGGACAGACGCCGCTGTCCACCGGAGCCCAGCACCCCCGCCCGCCCTTCCACAGGCCGGCGCCCCCGGGCCTGGCCCTGTGACCACTTCTCCTGACCCCTCGGCCGCCCCCTCAGAAGGCTGGAGCAGGGACGCCGTCGCTCCGGCCGCCTGCTCCCCTCAGGTCCCCACGAGAGCCCACGCCGGCGCCCGCGCCCACCCGCAGCCCTGCCCCTGGACACCGGATAAGGCCCAGCACACAGACCGCGGCTGGCCGGCATGGACCGCGGCGCAGTCCCTCTGCTCGTCGCCCTGCTGCTGGCCGTCGGCAGCCTCAGCCCCACAAGTAGGTGTCCAGGGCCCCGGGTGGGGAGACTCAGCCCCCAGCGCACAGCTGGGCCCCAGGTGTTCCAGCCCCCCGCCCCGCCTGTGTCCTGAGCTCAAGCCGCGGAGCCGTCCCTGGGGTCTGGCAGCCCCAGGCCGGTGCGGGCGGCTGGCCACCCAGCTCGTCTGGCAGGAAGCGGCGCTTTCAGCCCTGAAAACGGCAAACAGGGACGGGGTGTTTACCCGCCCCCAGTGTCTCTCCAGGCTCTCCCTGGGAGGCCCTGTCCTCAGGGTGCTGTGCAGCCCTGGGAGAATTCCTGCCCTCTCTGGGCTGTGGGTTTCCCGTCTGAGGGATGTTTGGGAAGGTGGGCCGTGGGCTCCAGGTTGGATCTCAGCTGTGGGCTTGCGACACTGTTCTGGCCCCCGAGTGAAGTGGGGGTGCTAACAGGACTTCCGGCTCCGTGGAGAGGCCAGGCTTGTAGTGATGGCCGGGGAAGGCTGGGGGCCGTGTGTCGTTATTGTTGCTGCCTTATGATAAGCTTTAAATTCCCTCCCTCCCTTCCCCTGGGCCTCTGAGCCCCTCCCAGGGTCCCTTTGAAAATCTCAAAGCTGCAGCGCCCCACACTTCTCTCCTCCCCAAAAGGGGAGCAGGCTCAGACAGGGGTCCTGTGGAGGCTTCTCAGCCGGGGGGCTCTTCCAGACATTCCTGCAGTCTGTGGCCTTCGGAAACTGAGCAGATGAGGGGCTGTGAGGAACCAGGGAACCCCCAGTCCCGCATCGCTGCTCTGTGGGTCTCGCTGTGCCCTGTCCCCGTACCCCAAAGGCACAGGACAGCCCTGAGGACAGTCCTGCCCCTTGGGTGCCTCTGGGGGCAGAGGACGAAGGGGACCGCAGCAGCACTGACCACCCCCACCCGCACCCACACTCACGCACGCGCAGAGTATCTGAAAGTTCTAGACCGTGGGCTCGAGGGCTCTTACCACGGCCTCCGCGCAGACAGGAAGCTGAGGCTCAGGTGCGTGACCCGCAGGGATTGGACCCGGCCGTGGCTCCATCCCACGGGCCAGCACCCCTTCTCCGTGGAGCCCAGAAGCAGCCTGCAAGATGGCTACCGGCCCACTTCACAGGAGAGTGGCTGGGGGCCCCAGCAAGCCCACGGCTGGGAGACTCTGGGAGGCTCCTCCGAGCCTCTTCCTCCCGCCTCCCCCGCGCCTGGGACGAGCTGACGCTCTCTTCCTTGCCAGCATCAGGAACCTTCTGAGCAGACATGAGGGTCTGGCTTTATAGGCTCAGAGGCCGCATGCACTGGCAAAAATTACTAACAGGGGTCGGGCAGCTGTTGCCAGCTTCTGTGGGTTTCAAGTCACTCAGAGTTGGGGCGGCCAGCCCCCCACCCACCATCAAGCGTCCCCAGCAGACAGGTGCAGGGAGGCAGACAGCCTCGGAGTGGGGACGGTACGTGGGGACAATGAGGAAGAAGCACTGAGTGTGGCCATCGCTGCCTTTCAGCATGTGTGTCCTTGGTTGATTGTGCATTTGAATTTTTAATGACAATTGAATTCTTTCATAATGTTATTTGTAATAAAAGCTGTGTTGAACGGCCCTCTGGGGAGGCTCCCGAAACTCGAGCCACGTACTCCTGGGCACACTGGCCGCCACTGGGGTCAAGGGCAACCCAAAACACACCCCCAAATCATGTCCAACAAACTGAGGTCCCAGGAGGGCAGGGGGGGCCTGGGTCAAGGTGTGGAACCCAGATCTCCACGCGGGGGACGGACCCAGGCACCTTTGCTCAGACTGGAGGGTGCAAAAAAGGTTCCCCAACAGGCCCCCGCATGGCCCTGGCCTTCTGGAGCAGGTTGGCAGAGTCTCTCGAGACTCTGCTTGGGCCTAGCGCTGCCCGGCAACTCAGCCTTCAAGTGTCAGCCCGGTGGCCTTGCTTGCCCAGCTCTCCAAAGACACGTGTCTGTGGGTCCCTGCAACAAACCCAGCCACCTTCAGCCACGTGTCCGCCCCAGATGTCCACCAGCCCCGATCAGTGAATCGTTGTGCAGGGGGATGTTAGGCGGATGCTAGGAAAAAGGCGGATGTGCGCTGTCCTGCTTGGGCAGATGACGGGACATACCCAAGCACCGCGACGCCCTTTCTGTAGGAGAGAAGCAGGAATGAGCTCACGATGTGCACAGAAAGTCCGAAGGAGGGAGCCAAGGCGGCCACTCCAGGGTGCGATGGCTCTGTCTGTGACAGATGGAACAGCTGGCGATCTTAATTTTCACATTTTATTTTATTTTTTTTAAAGATTTATTTATTTATTCGTACAGAACTGGGGTACAGGCCAGAGACGCGGAGGGTGAGCGGATTCACCAGAGACAGAGCGGGGGAGCGGAACAGGCTGACTGACGAAGAACACTGCTAAGGGGAGCAGCGGGCGGGTCAGGAGAGGTCTGCCGCGCCATGTGGTCACCTCCGGGGCAGGCGGGGATCGAACTCATGCAGAATCGGCTTAAGCTTCTTTGTGCTGTGCTTTAACCCGCTGCGCCACCAGGGAGGCCCAGGTGGCGATCTTAAAAGAGCAATTCAATATTCACATTCGCTGCTGTCCACATTTCCAAGAAAGCAGATCAGAAAGGGACAGTGGGGCCCTCCCTGGTGGCGCAACGGGTCAGGACGCAGCACTGCAAGCTGGCCACGGCCTCTACAGTGAGAGCTCGATCCCCGGCCAGGAGCTGACCCACATGGCGAGGCAGACCTCTCCTGACCCGCCCGCTGCTCCCCTCAGCAGTGTGCTTCATCCATCTGCCTGTTCTGCTCCCCACTCTGTCTCTGGTGAAGCCTCTCACCGCCTCTGAAACTCTGTGTGCATAAATAAATAAATTTAAAAAGAAAGAAAGAAAGAAAAGGACAACAACCTCCCCCTCCTAGTGAGTCATTGGCAACGTGCTGGTCGATTGTTGGTTTTTGTCTAGTTTCTGTCTTTTTTTTAATAACAGATTTATTTATGCATACAAGAGCTGGGGTGCAGGCCCGAGGTGTGGGGGGATTCACCAGAGACAGAGTGGGGAGCAGAACAGGCAGAACTGAACAGCAGAACTGAAACACACTGCTGAGGGGAGTTGGGGGGAGACCGGAGAGGCCTGCTGCGCCCTGGGGGTCCCTCCCTGGCGGGGGGTCGCACTCAGGCTGCAGGGGCTGTGGACAGCTCCGTGGCACTGTCCTCCGTTGTGCCACCAGGGAGGGCCCCAGTTTTTGTCTCGTTTCTTAAGGTGACTTTCACGCAGGTGGATCCATATTTGGGAGTCCGTGTCCTTTCCTTATGTCCCAGAAGGTTCTGGTGCTGTCGCGTGGCCCCGTAACCGTCTCATTGTGGTTCTGGAATATTCTCTCCTTGAAAGGCACCATCATGGGCTCCTGGACCCCTGCGGCTGACTGCTTGGTTGCTTCTCCTTTCTGCCGGAAGGCCGCTCCGTGCTTGCTTTTGGTACACGCACCCTTTCCTGCATGTTGGCTCATTTCATTGGGGTACAGTCCCAGAAATGGGGCGCGTGGCCTCTGTTGGGGGCTTGGGGTGACGGAGAGTCTCTGGAGTGTGGAAGGAAGGGTGGTCCCTGGGCCGCCTGCGTGGGCTTTGGGGCGGAAGGCCGCGCTAGTGACGCTGACGAGCCCCGGGTGCCCACTTCTGGAGCTTCTTTCTGGGCAGCTGCCATCTGCCAGTAGGAAGAGAGGAGGAGGAGCAGGGCCCATGTGAGCCAGGGGCCCGACCCCGGGACAGCTGCAACATGGCTGCTACAAGAGCCCGCCTCAGCCAGGTGGTGCTGAGGAGGCCAGGGGAGAAGGGAGACAGCCACAGGCAGGTCGGCGCCGGCCCTCTGAGGTCAGGCCAGTCTGCTCACTCGAGGCCCTGCCCGAGTGCGGGAGGCCGCTTTCCGCCCCTCTGTCCCAGAGATAGATGGGGAATCGAGCTCAGGACTAGTGCCAGGCCCACCTTCAGCCCTAGGCTGCTGCTTCCAAACCCAGCTTCTTTCCCGGTGCCTGGTGGCCCGGGAGAAGAGCCTTCTGGAGCTCACCACCCCGGCCTGGCCGCGCCTTCCAGCGCCAGCCCAGGGCTGGAGGCTGAAGAGCCCCTCCTCCGGGCCGGCGGGCCTCGGGCGCCTGTGGCGGGCTCGGGGTGCCGACTCACACGCGGGCATTCGAGACTCTCTGCAGGCGGCACTGCTCTGGGCCTGTGCTGTTTCCATGGGCTGGGCCTTCGCAAAAAGCCCAAGAAAGCTGGTGATCCTGTCACCCCCACTTTATAGCTGAGGAGACGGGGCACAGGCAGAGGGCGGGAGGAGTGATCCAGCCCAGAAACGAGCGGGCGCTGGAGCCGAGACCCCAGCCTGCACCACCCCACCGCGGGGGAGCCATGGGGACCCTTCCCTGGAGCTACATCCTCTCACTCGGCGTAGGGGTCCCCTCCCTGCGTCTAAGGTGCACCCCGGGGACACTGTCCCTACCCTCAGTGGCCACATCCGTGCCCTGCTCTCCTCAGGTGGAAACTCAGCGCCCAGTGGAGTTTGGATGGGTCCCTCCGCCCCGCTCTCCCCTACCCAGTACCGAGGGGAAACTGAGGCCCAGAATGGTGCAGGGACTGGATGCAGGGCGCCCAGGAAGCTAAAGGCAGACCTGAAAAACCAGCTGCACCAAGGCCCACTGGTGCCTGCCCCGGGCCCTGGACTTCTAGACGGCCCAGTCCTAGCAAGCGAACTGTCTGCGGAGAGTGGGCAGTTCTGTATGCACAAATCAGTAAATCTTAGGGTTTTGAAGGAGGAATAGAAGTTGGCCACGTGGTCAGGTAAAGGAAGAGCATTGGCCTGGGCTAAGGCCTGGGAGCGGGGACAAGGTCCCACCTCCTGCACGGCCACGTGCTGTGGCGGCGGCCGGCTCCGGAGCCCTCCCCCGCACCGAGAGCCTGCCTGGCCTGTGCGCGTCATGCATGGACCCAGCACCTCCGTGAGTGGACATCGTGCCCACTTTAGAGAGAGAGACCCTGGCGTGCTGAGCTGGAGGTGGCAGCAGTAGTATCTGCAGTCCTGGCACCCAGTCCTGGCGCCAGACTCCTGGCATTTTTTTTTTTTTAAGATTTACTGATTTGTGCATACAGAACTGGGGCACAGGCCAGAGGTGCAGGGATGGTGAGAGGACTCACCAGAGACAGAGTGGGGAGCAGAACAGGCAGGTGGATGAGGCACACTGCTGAGGGGAGCAGCGGGCAGTCAGGGGAGGTCTGCCGCGCCACGTGGGTCACCCCCGGGGCGGGGATCGAACTTGTGCTAAAGTGGCTTCAGCTCCCCAGTGCTGTGCCTTGACCCGCTGCGCCACCAAGGAGGGCCCGGCCCCTGGCATTTTAACCCCATTCCGGGTTGTGGAGTGTGGGCTTGGCCGGGAGCCTTGGGCAGAGCTGAAGCGAGGCCTGGGGTGGGTGGGGGCAGGTGGCCTGGGCATCTGCTGGCCCATCATGGAAGCCTGGCGGGAGACAGAGGCAGCCTGAGCAGCAAGGACGCCTTGGAGAGGCCCTGTCCGCGCAGCAGGAAACAACGAGACACTGAGTCCGCACACCAGGGGCACCGGGCAGTGTCCACGGGCCCGGCGCGGGTGCTGGCCGCTCCCTCGCCCTCGTCCGTAGCCCCCGTGGGTACATTGCCCGCACGTTAGGGTTGCTGAGAGGAGCAAAGGAATGAACGTGTGTGAAAGGTGTGTGAAGCCCTAGGAGGCGCAATGGGACATCTGCTGGACGGCTGCTGTTTTGCCAGTGGGGAAACTGAGGCTCGGAGACGTTAGGCTTTTGCCGAAGATGATCAGCTGCAATGAGCCAGCGCTGGGGCTTGACCCCTGCTGCCTGACTCCAGACCTGCTTTTCCTGACCTTTATCCTCTGCGGTCTCCCAAGTGCTGGGGGGTGGGGGAGGGGGGCTGTTTGGAAGGTTCTGGACCGTGCTCCTGGGCGGGGGAGGAGCAGGACGCAGGGGCCCGAGGTGGCGCTGGGGTCTCTCCTCGGCGCCTCCTCCAGCTGTCCCTGGAGGCCTGGCGTTTCCCTCGTGCAGGGGATTGTTTTCTGCTCCGTCTGGGCCCGCCTCCGGCTCCGGGAGACAGCCCGGGCGTCACACTCCCTCCTGTCTCCCCATTCTCGTCTGCGGGGTGGGGGCGCCAGGATTCGAAAAGGCCCCAAAATAAATGGGCCTCTTATCTGATCTCCCAGCCTGGCTGTTATCTGATCATTACATAATGGCCAGGCCTGTGGCCTCTCCCGCTGACGGCATGGAGGAGGCGGCCCAGGCGGCCCCGGCAATCCGGGAGGAACTGGGGTTCCTGGAAGTCTGGGGAGGGAGGCAGGGAAAGTCCAAGGGGAGGAGAAAGGCGCCACACTGGCCTGCCCACCGGACCCCGGGCCTGCGGGGAGAGGAGGGTCCGAGGCCCGCCCGGTCACCCCGTGCAGCGTGGCCGGCACAGCCCGCCTCTCGGGGCTCAGTCTCCCCTCTGCTTAGGAGAGGTTTGGACAGGGAAGAGCCAAGGAGTCTCCTTCACTGATAGGGCAGGAAGGGTGGGGAGAGGGGCTCGGTGGGACAGCAGGAGACGCCAGCCCCCGAGTCGGCTGTGGAGACCGGCGACCTCCCCCCTTGCCTCACCTGCAAGCTGCCCGCCCCCCCTGTGCCCACCCCATCCGCCCCACCGTCTGTCCTTCCTGGTGACTGAAGTGGATCAGATAATGGAGCTAACAAGCCTGCCGCGAGCCCCTGCGGCCTGCGGGTTCTGTTCTTACAGCCTCTTCACAGAGGAGGAAACTGAGGTCCAAATGGCAGAACCTTCACCAAAGACACATAATGAGTGTCCAGCCTGAGAGTCAAACCCAGACCAGTCTGCCCCACAGACCGCAGTGGCCAGGGCAGGCCACACGTCCTGGCCCCAGGATATCCGTCTCCAGATGCTGCTGGTGGGTGGTGCTGCCGGGCCCGGCGGCCATCTTATGTCCTTCCCTGACCCCTGGGGGTCCTGTGTCCAGCGAGGCCGTAGGAGCGGGCGGAGGCCGGGTGAGCCCAGGGCTCGGAAGAGCCTCCTTGCCCGCCCCCGTGAGCCGGCGTCGGCTGGACGTGCGGCCAGACCCTCCGCGCCCAACTTTGATCTCCAAGAAAACAGGAAGTGAGCGCGACAAGATGGAGACACAAACTTCCAAACAGTCTCCCCTTCTCTGTCCTCCTTCCCTCCTCGGCCCCCCACCCCCTTTCCTCGGCACATTCCTCAGGCCGAGGTGTAGGGGCCTCATTTCCTCTTCCTCCTCTGCTAGGTCAGGGTGAAATTCCATTCCCTTCCCTCAGGACCAAGTTTCCGGACGGCAGCGTGGAGGAGTGCTCTGGGGGGCCGGGGCCGTCCCCCTGCCTCTGTCCCCGGGGGCCATGAGGCGCTCAGCCCCTGCCGGCCCATCCCTGTGGGCTTCCTTGAGTCACAGGAGGGGAAGTTTGACCTCACTGTCTTGCCTGCCTCGCAGTGACGCTGCAGGCCTGGGTCCAGAGGCGGCCATGGAGCTGCCAGGGGCAGCTCAAAGCACAGACGGTGGGCTCGGCTGGAGCTTCAGGTGAACGACAGAAACTCTCTTCGTTTAATTATGCCCTGTACAATCTTCGGGGTACACTGACCCCTTAAGCGTTATTCACGGTGGGGCCCTCCCTGGTGGCGCAGCGGGTTACAGCACAGCACTGAGAAGCTCAAGCCGCTTCAGCACGAGTTCGATCCCCGCCTGCCCCGGAGGTGACCACACGGCGCGGCAGACCTCTCCTGACCCGCCCGCTGCTCCCCTCAGTCGGCCTGTTCTGCTCCCCGCTCTGTCTCTGGTGAATCCTCTCACGGGCCCTGCACCTCAGGTCTGTACCCCACTTCTGTAGGCATAAATAAATCTTTTTTTTTTTAAAGATTTATTTATTTATTCGTACAGAACTGGGGTACAGGTCAGAGATGCGGAGGGTGAGCGGATTCACCAGAGACAGAGTGGGGAGCAGAACAGGCAGATGGACTGAAGTACACTGCTGAGGGGAGCAGCGGGCGGGTCAGGAGAGGTCTGCTGCGCCCTGTGGTCACCTCCGGGGCAGGTGGGGATCGAACTCATGCGGAAGCGGCTTTAGCTTCTCAGTGCTGTGCTTTAACCCGCTGCGCCACCAGGGAGGGCCTAAATAAATCTTTTTTAAAAAAGTTATTCATGGTCTATGCTTATATACTCAAAATGAACCGAGTCGCCTTACTGTACCTGCCAGCCCTTCACTGGTTACCTGTCAGGTCAGAGACCTGGCCCTCGGAGTCTCAGTTTCCTCATCTGTAAAATGGACACGATGATGCCCGCCTCGCAGGGCAGCTGGGGAGATGCAGGGAAGCCTCAGCCGGTGCCCAGCACCCAGTGGGCTCAGAACGTGGCACTGGGCGTCACACCTGGTTCTCACCGGCTCTCTCTCGCTGTGCTCACCCACAGGTCTCGCAGAAACAGTCCACTGTGACCTGCAGCCTGTGGACCCCGAGGAGGTCAAGGCGACATACTTCACAAGCCAAGTTCCGGAGGGCTGCGTGGCTTCGGCCCCCAACGCCACCCTGGAAGTCCGTGTCCTCTTCCTGGAGTTCCCGACGGTGAGTGTCCCCTGGCCGTGTCGGGGAACCCCGAGCAGAGCCAGCACCAGTGGATGAGGGAACGCTCTTGGCGGGGCTCAGCCCAGGGCCTACAGGGGGTGTTTCCAGGGGCAGCGTGGGGTGCCACCACAGGCTGGGTGGGAGGGGCTGACCGAGTGGACAGGAGCGCCGTGGACGGCGGGTGGGCCGGGCAGGCCGCCCCCACCCCCCGCGGACAGGGAGGCACGCCCCTTGCCGGAGGCTCTGGCCAGCCCGCACTCCCTGCCGTGGCCCCGCTCAACACCTGTGACCGGCCAGGCGGCTCCTTGGAGGTGGGATGCCAGCCAGGCCAGCCTCCCAGAGAACCTTCCGGACGCCCGCCTGTCTGTCTAAATTCCTCTAATAATAAAACTACACACTTACTACGTGCTAAGGGCTGCCCAGGCCTCCTCCGTGCCGGGAAGAGCGTTCACCTCGCGCACGGCCCGCCTCCAAGGCCCCATCAGCCGGGCTCTTACTGCCCCGCTTTTCAGGGGCGACACTGAGGCAGGCCTAGAGAGGTGACGACGGCCGCGGGGAGCGCCGCCCTGGGGGACGCACAGCCCGGCCGTCCCTCGCCTGCTCCCCGCGGTCCCCGTGCTCGGCGGGGCCGGGCCCCGACTGGCGGCCATCCCTGGCCAGCACCGCTTGGGCCTGATAGCGACGTTGTGGTGTGAGCCCAGGGTGAACGTGTGGCCAGCCTGCGCCCGAGTGCCCTGCACTTGTGCGATGATAAGATGGTGCCCAGACCACCAATATCGGGGGGCCTGCCCCCCACCGCCCTGCCTGCCACCAGGACTGTGGGCCTTGATAACCCCCGACGGCAGATAGCACCCTCACATATCAGAACCATTGTAGTTTTTTCAGGCTTGGTGATCATATGGGGCATAAGATTGCCCGCGGCCATTCGTTTTGCTTCTTCTGCTGCTCAGATCCCCGTGTCTGCTCTGGGTGACTGGGGTCCCCCTCGGCGAGTCACTCCACATCAGCCAGAGTCAGAGAGAGGCCCCCGCCGCATGCCCGGGTCTGTGAGAGACAGAGGCCAGGATCCACGAGATGGGTGCACCCTTGGGGAGCACAGGGGAGGGATGTCCAGCCGCTGTGGGGTCAGCTAGGGCTTCCTCGAGGAAGCAGCAGCAGAAAGGACAGTCTGGAACTCACCGAGGGAGGGGCGTGGGGGGCAGCCGAGGAGCAGAGGCAGGGACGTGGGTAGGGGTGGGGTGAGCACACGGCAGGGCTGACCCTTTGCTTGGGGCCTGGGCCCGGGAGGGGGCAAGGCCCCCGCCATCGTGGGCAGCCTGGCCTTCGCTGTGGGCAGTGACAGTCATCACAAGCTGTCACTGTAGCCCACGTCATCCCAGAGGTGACCACAGAGCGAGAACTCAGTCCGTGGGCATCTGTTTTAATCCGGGAGCCAGACTGCAGCCCCAGGGCAGTCTGTGTTTGGGGGGTGTTTGGGGGAGGTGGAGAGCGCTGGGGTCAGGGAGACCTGCGCTGCCCCTGGGCCTGTCCCTGGCCAGCGCCTCGTGTAGCTCCTGCCATGCATGGGGGCTTCTGCGCACTCTCCAATAGATACCTATTTCTTAGGCCAAGACTCCCCAAAGCCACGAAGTATCAGAGTCTGGCTCAGCGCTTGGCCTAGGATGGGTAACGGCGGGGGGTCTGGGCAAGAATAAATGAGTGCCCAGCCCGCTAGGTGACCTCGAGCCAGCGGTTACGCGTGTGGACGCTGGGCTGCTCTCCGGGCTGACCACTGCTCCTCCCCCACAGCCATGCTCGAGCGGGCTCCTGCTGCAAGTCTGGGCTTGCCCACGAGAAACTCAGAGGCGAGGTCAGTCCCCACCCCACGCGGCGGCCGAGGGGTCCAGGGGACGGCAGGCCAGGACCCGCTCTCGCCGGCCGAGGCCTCACAGGCCTGTGTCTCGGCATGTCCCTCCCTGCGGTGACCTCAGAGGTGACCTCAGAGGTCACCCTGCCAGGCAGCAGGGCAGAGGCGTGAGTGCATTTCCATAGCGGGTAGCTGACAGCCAGCCGCTGTGGGGAGCCTCCCTCTGGTGTCGTTCCCTGCCCCAGGGCTGCTCCCATGCTCCCAGCAGACCCCCTTGCAGGACACTGAGGGACCCGTGGTTCCCCTGGGAGGGACACAGCCCCCAAGAACCGAGTCCACAGCCCTGAATCCCCTCCCCTGTCTTCCGCACGTGTCTGCCCTGTGTCCAGGGCGAAAATTGACCTGTGCTCAGAGTGGAGCTGGCCATGGGGGCACGTGGAGGAAAGGGGCCAGACCGGAAAGGCCCCCAGCTCTAGCGAGACAGAGTCGGCGGGGGGCTTCCAGGAGGGTCCCGCAGGCGCCACGCCGGGGGCAGCGGACCCCCCGGCAGGATGGCCCGGGGCGGGTTCCCAGCAAGGCGCCCGGTCGTTCGGGACCCTCGGCCGCCTCTTCAAACTCTGGCCTGGAGAACCGGCTTCCCCTTCCTCCCCAGCATGGCGCCCGAGTTCTCGGGCTTCCTGTGGGGGGGCAGAGGCTGAGCCCGGCACTCGAGCCTGGGGAGGGGCATGCACGCGTGCTCTGTGGATGTGGGGACGGCTGCAGCTTTGCACACAGGCTGGGGGGCTGTCTCTCTAGGTCTCCAAAGAGCCTGGAATCCGGGAGGGGTCCTGGGGTCACATCCTGGCCTGCGGAGACAGGAAACCTGCCCGGGCCTGGTGTCTCAGCGGTTCCCGGCAGGCGGCGGCACCAACCTGCTATCTTCCTAGCGAACTCCAGCAGTCAGACCACAGCAGGCCAGCCACTGATTCACCCCGCTTCTGGGTAACTTCGGGGAACCAAAGACACCCCACCCACCCCTAGCAGACAGCATTCACCCGCCTCAGCACTGACTCACTGGCCAGGGAGGGGCCTGGGTTCCCCAGATCATCCTGGCAGAAGGCAGTGCCAGCTCTCAGACCGGGGCTGGGGGGGCCTGCTTGGGGTGCACCATGAGGGGCCCCGTTCTGTTCCTCTTCCAGCTCATTCCTCCCCTGGATGAGGAAATTGCTGGGCCGAAGAGACAGGCCCCCTGGGCGCCTGCACTTCCCCCGGCCAGCGGTCAGAGCTCTGGGTGCCAGCGCTAAGAATTCCCTGCCCAGAATAAAGTTCCTGCCTGTCAGGAAAAATAATAATAATAAAAAGAATTCCCTGCCCAAAGACCCCCAGCCTCCTCTGGGGCTCGACAGGGCCCTTTCGAGGGGCCTGTCAGGGGGCGCTGCCTGCTGGTCTAGGAGGCCCTGGAGACCAAGGGAGGCCAGGAGGCTGGGGCGCATCCGCTTGGCTGGTCTTCATACCTGCGGAGAGGCGGGGTGTGGCTGGGGGTCGGGGCTGCCGTTTGTTTCGTATCTTATCCCGGGCCCTGCAAATGCCAGAAGAAAGCCTGGTGCGGGCATGGGCTGGGTCAGGCAGGCGGGCAGCAATCGTGTCTGCCCTCTCGCTGCTGGTGCCCAGTGTCCAGCAAGGGGTCAGTCCAGGAACAGACATCAGTGGACGGACGGATGGAGAGATGGGTGGGTAATGGGGAGAACGAGGGAAGACAAGGAGGTGGAAGGGGGACAGGAGGGAGGCAGAATGTGCCTGCTTATGTACTCCTGTACCCCACAATGTGCCTGCTTATGTACTCCTGTACCCCGCAATGTGCCCTGGCTGGGGCCCGGCCCAGGACTCAGTAGTGTCACTTGCTGCTCTGGGGTGTTCGCTAGTTCTCTGCCAAGGCTGGGGACAGAGTTGTGCTTCTCTCTGTTTCCTTCCCAGCACCGGGGCCCTAGGCTGGGCCCCCGCTGCCTCTCAAATGAATCAGGAAGGTGGGCGGATGTGGATTTACCTGGGCCCTCTGTAGGGAAAGCATCATGTCTCCCCAGTGGGTTTGAGAAGCCCATTCTGTGGCTTCCTGGCTGAAGCCACCCCAAGGCCAAACTCTGGACCTCTGGGAGGCAAGAGGGAACCCAGTACCCAGAGTTCACAAGATACTAGGACATCGCTGGCCCAACTCCTCCCCCACAGAGGGTAGACAACAGGGGCAGCTCCCCACTGCTGATGCCGTCCCGCGCCCCAGCCTGAAGCCAGGTCCCTCCTCTGGACGGGCAGGCAGAGGAGCGGAGTGAAGCAGCCAGGGCCAGTGTCCGGACTCTGGGCAGATGCGCTGGACCCTCACGAGTCTGTAAGTGGGCATATCATCTGCCCATTCTCCAGATGAGGAAACTGAGGCCCAGTGACAGGCAGTGACTGTCCAGGGTGGGTGGGACCCCCGGCCCCAACCCCTGCATGTGCGTCCCAACAGGGTGCCCCAGTGGACAGAGGGCAGCCAGTTCCGACCTGGCCGGCTCCCGCCTGGCCCTAGGAGGGCGGGGCCTGCGGGCAGCCCCAAGGCTCCACTCCTAGAAGAATTGCTGGAAGCCGTTTTCTATAAGTGGCCACTGGTACTCGGGCCTCCTCACCGAAATCCCCCCTTCCCGCCACCCACCACCGGCCAACAATGGCATCTGTGGGACGCTGCCACAAAAATAGAAGCTCCGTCTCCCACCCACCCACTAAGGAGGGGCCAGGCAGGCCCGGGGCTGGCCCAGGTGCAGAGCTGGGGTCAGGGGGCGGGAGGCCCGGCGACCTCAGACATCCCGGGGATCCCGGGATGCTGCTCCAAAGCCTGGGCGGCAGGCCTGTTTTGCCCAGCTCCGGGCTGGGGAGGCCGGGAAAGACGGGTGCATGTGAGTGGCTGTGCTGATGAGTCAGGGCCGGGCAGGGCCGGGCAGGGCCGGAGAGGTTTGTTGTGGAAACCTGACAGCGTTTTCTGGTAACCAGCTGGCCTCAGCTAGGCCCCGACGCCAGCTCAGAGAGCACAGCTTTCCAGGCTGCCGCTCACTAGCTGTGTGGTTCTGGCCCCTGCGCCCCTCTTGGGCCCCTCACCACAGCCCCCCACGCAGCCCCAGCTGCAAGGGAGCGACTTGGTGACTTGGAGTGTGGGTTTGGGGGGTGAGCTTTGGAACCAATGACCCCAAATCTCCTTAGCCAGCCTGACTTCCTTTACCCGGAACCCCACTTGGTATTGGTTCCCAGCCGTGCCCTAACTCCCTTGCCAGGTGGGGAAACTGAGGCACAGAGCAACGGGCACAGTGGCAGGAACGGGTGTGACTAGACTCTTCCCTCCCAGCTTCGGCCTCTGCTCCCCGCTGCTCTCCGTCACCTGCAGTGCTCCCAGCCCGGGGGGGTCCTCCCGGCTCTGCCACGGGTCACATCTTCTTGCTGAGTGTGGGTGTCCGAGGTCAGATGGGACTGGGCAGCAATATGCCCCGGTGGGGCTGGAGAGCACAGGGGCCCCTAAGCAGTTCCCCGACCTGAGGGGAACCAGCAGAGGGGCCAGGCACTTGAGCCTGAACCCTCGGAGAGGGCTGCTTACGCAGCTGTTTTCAGACAATACCACACTGGCCTTGTCAAGGGCCTGGCTCAGTGGTTTCGTGTGTGCACAGTTGCGCAATCACGCTCTGTTGCTCAAGCTGGGGGCACGCGACCAGGGAGGCGCCGTACGCAGATTCTGGGGGCCAGGGGTGCCCGGCCTTCCCCGCCCCCCGAGGAGACTGGCCCTTCACCCCTTTCATTTCAAACAGCGGTCACAGCGCCGGGACAGTGTCCACTTGCCCTTGGTTTTGAACCTTGTATCTTACTGAAACTTGACATGAAATCCAGCATTAAATTTTTCAAGTGTTTAGAATGCAGTTTTTTCCCCCAAATTACTGAAACAAGATATTTCCAAAACCACAAACAGCAAACCCACTAGAAAATGTCAGTTAATCAAAAATGTGACCTTACACAAGTTTGAAACGAACCACCCTGCTCTAAATTAGCATAAAAATAACTTCAAAATAAGCAAATTAAAAGCTCACTAAACTGAAAAAAAAAAAATGTGACCTGTTGAAAACGAAATCCTCTTTTGTTTGCTTTCTTTTGTTTTAAAGAGCAAAGTTACAAACAAAGAGTGAATACGGCCTAATTATCCAGTAACGGAAATATTTCTGGGCAGATATTTCCAGCAGCTGAAAAACTCTCTGGCTTTGTGACCTCAGCTGGGGAAACGCCAGGAGATAATTAAAAGCAAAACCCAAAACTTTCCACTGATGTCTTCGTCTTGAAATACGGGTCTCCTTTTTCATAATTTTGGGGAGCTCTGGGGGGCTCAGCTCTCGGTCTGTGGCGACCGCCAGTCTTCAGCGCTGCCGGTCTGCATCCGTGAAGCTTCTGTGGCTGCCTCGTGTGTGGGTGGCCGCTCCTGGCCACCACCTGGCTGGGGTTCACCTGTCCACGTGGTGCAGAAGGCTTCCGCGCAGCTTCTTTCAGTACAGGTTTTGCCTCCAGGGTACGGAGGGCAGTATTGGGGTAGCAGTCCGAGACAGCCTGGGCCACTTCCTGGGTCCGCACTCCTCAGGCTCCCCCCGGGGGGCCCCCAAAGGGCCTGAGACAGGGAGCCCACAGAAGGGTCCACACTCAGCAGTGAGGCCTATGCACAGCCCTGGCCGACTCCCGTCTTCACACTCGGCCCCCCTGTCCCCACCTGACCCGTGGGAGACCTGCCTTGGAGAACATTCCATGATATGGTCTTATCGTTGACTTTGGAAAATGTTACGGGACACAGATTCAAAGCCATGACAGTGTTTTATTTAATAACTATGAAGCGACTCTGCTCTCGGCCCATCCCCACCCGTGGACAGCCTGTTCTGTCTGCAGGGGAGAGCCGCCCACTCCGGGCTGACCAGCAGCACAGTGTGTGTGGGATATGTGTGTCAGATGTCACTGTTTGGCTTGGTACATGCCAGGTGCACACACCGCCAGCGAGCGCCAAGGCTAACACGTCGAGGACCTCTTAAGACAAAGGATTTCGGCTTCGCGTTCTTACAAGCCTCAGAGTAAAGGCGTCACAGCCACCATGGCCCTGTGGCCCTTAAGAAAGGGCCTCGGGAGGCTGCAGGCGGGAGGGGGGCCGGCGGCGGGGGGCATGCCCGGGCGGGGCGCCGGGCAGGGAGCTCGGGGCACACAGACGCTCAGCCCACGTGGGCACCGTGGAAACACCCGGTGGGCACTTTTCCCATCTCTGGATTTTTCTGGGATGAACTGTCCATTCACTCAGAGACAGTCCCGAGGGCGCCCGGGCCTCGCGCTGGGCTGGTCTGGGGAGCCAGGGCCCATCACTGAGTCTTCACAACCGATTTGGGTAGCACCCCTTCCCAGCCCGCGGCTGTCCCCCCCACCCCCCCAAGTCCTCCTGGCGCCCGTGCAGGTCTGAATGGCCTGTGCACTCCCGTCTCCGCAGGCGGTGTCCGAGCTGAAGCTGACCGTCCAGACACCCCAGCAGGACGGAGCCCAGGTGCGGCAGGTGCTCCTGGTCCTTGCCGTGAGCAAGACTGTCTTCCTGCACCTGCAAGCCCCCGGGATCCCACTCTACCTGGCCTCGGTGAGTTGCCTGCAAGGCCCCGGCCCTGGCGGGCGCAGGCCCCTGCTGCCCACACCTCTGGCTCCATATCTCCTGCCCCAAGGACCCTGCTTCTCTTTCTCATCTGGACACTGTTCCCCAAGGTCCCTCATGATGAACCCCGCGAGGCCCTGACCCAAAGGGCCGCAGTGTCGGGGGTGACGCATTCCCACCCACAGGTGGGAGTCAGGCTGATAAGCAACCCGGGCCGACGGCAGGCTCGCACTCGGCCTCAGTCTTCCTGTCTGCCCAGTGGGAGAACTGGACTTGAGGACAGTCCCTAAAATAGTCTCGTCACTGACTTTGGAAGAACTTACGAGACATATATTTGAAAAACATTTAAGTGCAGAGGAAGAGGGTCAGGAGGAAACCTAACAGTGTGTTCCCTGTGTGTGGGCGGGAGGTTAGGAGAGACAGAGAGACAGGCGTTTTGTCTTTACACTGTTGATCTGCAAGGCGGGCTCTAACTAACAGCGGATTAGGTGGAGAAATGATTTTTAAAGACTCACGTCTTCCGTGTCAGACACAGACACCAGAGTGAGGACCCCAGTGTCTGGGCCCACAGCAAGGGGTGAGGGGCTGGAGGTGGGGTGTGGAAAGCGGGCACTGCCACTCCCCATGGGTGGCCTGGAGGGTGGCCCCAGATGTGAGCAGCTGTGGACAGCCCCAGACCGCAGAGGCTGTAGGAGAGAGAACCAGGATAACAGGCAGAGAGACGCAGACAGAAAAGTGGGACCCAGAGCAAGGAGGGACACAGGCACTCGGAGAGACTCCTGGGACAGTCACAGAGGACCGGCGCTGGGGACAGGCGGACAGGCCCGGCCAGGCTGGCAGGGGAGACACAGACACACCAGCACGAAAGCCTGCCGGAGGTGCGGTCAGGTCCTCATGGCTCCTCCTTCCCCTCCACTCCTTCCCGCTTTCCTCTTCCAGTTTCCCCAGCGATGAGCCTGGTGGGGCCCCGTGCGACACAGAGAGCGTGAAACCATCACGTGGGCTGGGCCGGAAGGTCACGGCAGCCACAGCACAGGCTGGGCTACACCTTCCTTCCTGGGCTAAGAACACCTGGGGTGGGTGGGGGTCGCCATCAGAGCAGCAAAGGCCATGACTTAGAGCTCCTGCAGCAGGCTCCTCCAGGGGTCACAGCCGTTGGGGGCAGGGCCCCGTGCAGGCCACTGACAAAGGCCTGACCCCTTAATCTCCGCTACATCTGCATTTTACAGATGATGATCCCAAGGGTCAGACTAGGTCCAGCACCCCGACTCCCAACCCTACCCCAGCTCTAAACCACTGTCCCAGCTCTTCCTTCACGGGGGCTGGCTTTCTCCCAGGGGTTCATCACTCTACCATCTCTCTGAAATCCAGCTCCATTCTGGTGGACTGTCCCCCACAGCCACGGTCGGGCAGTCCTGCTGTTCCTGCTGCTTCAGAGCAACGCCCCTGAATTTGGAGATAGAAGGCAAAGGAACTTAAAATCCATAACCCCAAGAGAGTCCTCTGATCACTTTGGCGTCAATAGAACACCTCCACCAGGAAGTCCTCCTTGCTTCCTTCCCCTAGCCCATCAGGGTCTCTTCTGTGGCCTGGGGAGGGGAAGCTGTGAGGGGCCACCCAGGTCCCCCTCTCTGTCCACCCAGGAGATTGTCTCACTCCTTTGTCTGTTATTAAATGATACCCACTATCTCCTGTTGTTTCAAGTAACTTGACGTGTGGCTAGTTTCTGGGTTGGAAGGTCCGCAAGGGCAGGGCCCACCCGGTTTGTCATTCACTCACTCACTCACTCATTCATTCCTGCACTCGAGTAGCCATCCATTTCTTCTTTCTGCCCTCCCACGTGTGGGGAGCGCCTGCCATGCGTCAGATGTCAGGGTGAAGCTGACATGTCGGGACCCCAGCTCCCATATGTGTCCAGAAAGACCAGCCCTGTCTCACAGACCCTTAGAGTATGGGGGGGGTCACATGATGTCATCACGTGTGGCTTGAATGAGTGGGCCGGAGCAGGGGAGGGTGATGTTTGCACAGGTGGGTGAGCGGGGTGAGTGTGTATCCAGCCGCTCCCCCGGCATGGAAGGAGCCGGGGCAAGCCTGGTTCTGGGGGGGTCTGGCTCTGAGTTGCCTCAGATCCACCAGCCTCAGTATTCCCAGCCCTGGCTTCCTCCTCTCAGCCAACCGGCTGCTCCCAAATGACCTCGGGCCTAGGACAGAGGGACTGGGCCCAGGAAGAATACTCTGAGTCTCCGTATGTCTTCCCAGAACCCCAAACTGACCTTCCTCCAAGATCCATCAAGCACCAACATCACGGAGCTCCCACCCTTCACGAGCAAGAGCGAGCTCCTCCACTGGGCAAATTCTAGGGGTCCTGTCGTCTCTGTGGCTGAACTGAGTGACCCCCAGAGCGTCCTCATCCGCCTGGACCAAGGTCAGCCCCCCACTGCCTCTCCTCTCTCAGGACCCAGCTGTGGAGCAATCTGAATCCCTCTGGCCCACACCCCTCAGATGGAGACACTGGGGCCCCCAGGGGGAGCACTGCCCCTGCCTCCCCCCAGCAAGTCAGCACTCTGCTGAGCCAGCAGCCAGACCCCTGCCTGTACCCACCGGCCTGCTTGATGTGAGCGCCAGCCCTTGTGTTCAGATCCCTCTGGGACCTGTGGAGCCATCAAGGGCTGGGCTGGCTCTGCCCTGCCCTGCGGTAGTTGGTGGTGGAAGTCACTGTCCACCCCTGCCCCAGTTCTTGTGGGCCAAGTAAAAGGGACCCACAAAGACAGGGCTCCCATACCTTCACTGCGCACTTACTAGTGCCAAGCCCACGTGGGGCACGCGGGGACTGGGCGGGACCGGCCCCACCTATCCTCGGCAGCTGCCCTGGCGCAGAGATGACTTGGGCAGGCAGATAAAGACAAGAGGGCGCTTTGCGGGCGGTAGATGCTAGAGGGAAGCTTAAAGTGAGGGATGTGCGGTGGCTGCAGGCCGCCCCCCCCTTCCCCCCCCCCTTCCCAGCCGCTGGGCCTCCGGGGCGTTAACCCCGTGCTGAGGCTGGTGCCTGCCCGGGTCACAGCCGAGAGCGGAGGACGGGAGGGGAGGACGGGAGGTTTGAACCGGCCGCCGGGCTGACTGGGGGGAGGGGGGCTCTGTGCCCGGCCCTGAGCGCCTCGTCTCCGCAGCCGGGGGCTTGCCGTCCTCCTGCGCGCCCGAGCCTCGCGCGGACATGGGCCACGCGCTCGAATGGCAGCCGCGCTCCGGGCCGTCGGTCCGGACCTGCAGCTTGGAAGGTGTGGCCGGCCACAAGGAGGCGCACATCCTGAGGGTCCTACCGGGCCCTGAGGCCAGGTAAGCTTGAGCACCCGCCTCCGCTCCCACCGCAGTCTGAGCCACAGCGCCCGGCCTAGGAGGAGGCCGTCGGGTCCCATCCCCACACCCATCCGGCGGACCCACCTCCCACGGACACGGGCCACCCTGTGCCCCCTCGCGCACTGATACACCGACTGCCCCCTCGCAGGCCCAGGACAGTGACCGTGAAGGTGGAGCTGAGCTGCGCCTCTGGCGACCCCGACGCGGCTGTGCTCATCCTGCAGGGCCCGCCCTATGTGTCCTGGCTCATCGATGCCAACCACAACATGCAGATCTGGGTGAGCCTCGCAGAGACCCAGACAGCCCTGGTCGGGCCTCCCCAAGGACCACACGTGCTGCACCCTAACCGCCTCCTGGGCAGGACAAGCCCCTCCACCCACCCTGTCCCTCTGGGCACCACCCACTCTTCCCTCACACCACCTAGATGGCACCTCCTCCGGGAAGCCTTCCAGGACCTCCTAGGAAGGCCCCTAACCCAGCCCAGGGGTCCGAGAAGGTTCCTGGAGAGATGAACCCCAAGCTGGGTGGGAGGACAAGTAGGAGCCAGTCGTTGACTGGAAGGACAGCCCAGGAGGCTGCAGGAACCAGCGGAGGCCTGGCAGGACCCTGGCTGGCCTGTGGTGACCCCTGACAGCCGTCTCTTTCCCCGTCTCTAGACCACTGGTGAATACTCCTTCAAGATCTTTCCAGAGAAGAATATCCGCGGCTTTGTGCTCCCAGACACCCCGCAAGGCCTGCTGGGGGAGGCCCGGAAGCTCAACGCCAGTGTGGTAGCGTCCTTCCTGGAGCTCCCTGTGGCCAGCGTCGTCTCACTGCAGGCCCTCAGATGCCGTGAGTGCCCGGCCCCTGCCCCGGCCCCCCTGGGTCGCTGGCCACCCCTGGCAGTGGGAACCACCTACCTGGCTGCCTTGGGGACCGTGGGGTCCCCTTTGCCTCACCCGCAACCTGGGAACAAGCACGCTGGGGAAGGCTCAGACTGTCCGCCCGGCCCCTCTGTGACCCCACAGGCGGTGTTCCGGCCACCTCGCCCGCCCCAGTCCAGACCACCCCCACCGGGCAGACCTGTGATGAAAAGCTGCTTCTGTCCCTGATCCAGCCCCAGTGCTCCGACGACGCCATGAAGCTGGAGCTCAATAAGGATTTCATCATGGTAAGGGAGCGTCCGCCCGCCCAGCATGGCGCTGCTTCCTCCCCTAACCCAGCAATCTCCGAGTTTGAACCTAGGGGGGGGGGCAGATCACAGCCCTCGCTCGCCCGTGGTCCTGCCACCGAAAGACTGAGATGGCTCTGAGCACGTGGTGGGGCGAGATGCTGTCTGGTGCAGAGCCGGACAGGGCCCCTTAGGGCTCCGCGGACCCCCAGTATCCTCACTGCTCATCCTAAATGCACTGGTGGAAGAATAGTATTTGTGAGAAAAACAACCCAGGCTTTAAGACCACCTGGAAGGGTTAGAAAGGCAGAAAACCTCAGTTTGCCCACCAAAGACGCTGGCTACCAACACGCTAGTGCATTTCTTGGGGTCCCCTCCGTGGATCTCTTACACGGTGTGGCTGTGTGGGGCACACGAGCTGCCCCCTGCGCCACTCACGCAGCTGGTTCCGGAACTTGCACAGGTGTGCTCCATGCATGTGGCATCAGCACAGGGCCCACCCGGCGGCACGCAGGTGAACTCTCCCCTACTGATATCAGTTCAGGCTGCTTCCTGCTTCCTTATAAAGATGCAGAAGACGTGATCGTGCGTGAGCATTTTCTGCACAAAGGATTATTTTCATAAAACGGAGAGTCCTACTTAGTGAGATTACTGGGTTGAAGTGACAGAACGTTCTGGAAGCTTAGATCCATGTTGCTAATCCACTGTCCGAGAGGACTGATTTTCACTGCTGGTTTATGGGAGCACTTTGATTCCCTCTCTCCCCCGCCCCCCAGACTACCATTCTTGTTTCTGGAAGCCTTTGCCAGTGTGGGAAGCAGAGGTCTGTCCCCTTCTTGTCACGCACACTCCTTGGTTAGCGGTGACGACGGCTCCAAGGGACTGATAATAGCTTAAAGCTCTTGATCTCTGGGGCTTTGTTTTTTTGTTCATGATTTCTTTTTAAAGATTTATTTATGTATCCATATAGAACTGGGGTACAGACCAAGGTGCAGGTGTGGTGAGAGGAGTCACCAGAGACAGAGTGGGGAGCAGAACAGGCAGATCAACCAAGTGCACTGCTGAGGGGAGCAGCAGGCGGGTCAGGAGAGGTCTGCCGCGCCATGTGGTCACCTCCGGGGCAGGCGGGGATCGAACTCATGTGGAGGTGGCTTTAGCTTCTTAGTGCTGCGCTTAACCTGCTGCACCACCAGGGAGGGCCCTTTCTTCATGATTATTAATCCTTTTTTTTCTTTTTTTTTCCAAAAGAGAACAATGTTTGCTTTATCCATCATTCTTATTGAAGTCATTTTTCCTGGTGTGTTAGAATTCTTTACATTTTGCCGACAGTTGTCTTTAATTTTTTGGACATCTTAACATATCGGGCCATTCCATCCACCCATCTCTCCCGTTGTAATTTCTCCTGGTCTTCCGAAGGCAGATCTCCAGAGTCTTGATAAAGCATTCATGTTCTCAAGGATTTTCAGAATTTAACTCTGTGGTTAAGTCCATGTGGAAGTTCTGGATGTGGGTAGAGGGACCTATGTGAAGCCCCAACCCCTCTGTGGCCCGCCTGTCCCCCACTTCTGCCTTGCCTGGCCCAGCACATGTCCAGGAGGGGGAGGAGGTGGGGTGGAAAGTGGCGATGTCCTGCACTACGGCTTTCCAGCCCCACTGCTGCCATCAATCTTTGAAATATTACAGTGCAGGTAAAAAGAGTGTGCTAGGTCTAGAAATAGAGACACAAAAGATGTGTTTATTGTTCAGTGAGAAACTAAGCTATGGCATGCAGGCAAGTATGATACATTTGGTAAAATACAAAAAGAAAAAAGAAAAAAAAGGAAATCTGCACACTTCGCTGAATACATATGTCTGCATAAGAAACAAAGAAAAGGGCCTGAACAGATTTACTGCAACCGCAGAGTGGCCCACTTATAAGATGTACCAGACCCTCAAGTCACGGATTTACCCAGAACCATTTTTATTTGGTGGGTTGATGTCTCCTGAAATGACTTAAGCAGCTTGTGGTGGAGAAGTGAGGAGGGAGCCAGTTGTGGTCAAGGGTGGCATTCTAGAGGAGAGAGTCAGCTGGATTCAAGTAGGACTGGTTTTTCTTTATTAAGGTTTTTTTATTTATGCACACAGAACTGGAGTATAGGCCAGAGGTGCAGGGGTGGTGAGAGGATTCACCAGAGACAGGGTGGGGAGCAGAACAGGCAGATTGACAAGTACACTGCTGAGGGGAGCAGTGGGGAGGCAGGAGAGGTCTGCCGCGCCCTGTGGGTCAGCTCCAGGGCCGGGAATAGACCTTGTGCTGAGGCAGTTGCGGCCAGCATCATGCGGTGCTTTAACCCATTGTGCCACCAGGGAGGGCCTCAAGTAAGACTTCTAACCACCCACTCAGCTCTAAAGACTCTGAGATTCTTTGATCGTGAATGTGACTGAGAAACATAGATTTGATTTTTCCAAGTCAGGACATAGCAAATTGTGGCCCTTTGCCTGTTTCTGTAAATAAAGTTTTATTGGCACACCCTTTCGTTTACACACTGTTATGGCTGCTCTGGGGCTGGGATGACAAAGTCCACATCACCCTCAAAGGCTTATGCACATTATTGCTCTCCTGCTCTCTTTGGAAATTCCCCAGGCCCAGGCCCAAGATTCTATGGTTCTGAGACCGGATTACGCTGTGGGGACTACATAATCTTGTGTGATGATTGTATCCACAGCTTGAATGAGCTTGATAGTTCTAGATTTATTTTAATATAAGATAGAAGAAAAACAAAGTAGCAAATCAAACTCTTCTTGCTTAGGACAAGGCTAAGTACAAAAGTGAGTCACATTCAAGCAAAGTGTTGAGTCTTAATGGTGTGGGGGGACTAGGTCACAGACACACGGAGAGGGAGCAGATGGAATGGCTGATGCGGAACCCTAGGTAGGGTCTGCGTCACCGCTGGGGTGCCCACACCTCCTGATGGTGCCCCTCCACCCCTGGCCTAGACCCTCAGGTGCACCATCAGCAGCCTGACCTTCTCAGACCCCAACTGCCAGGCCACGGACAGAGATGGTCAGCTGGTCCTGCATAGCGCCTACTCTGACTGTGGCATGAAAGTGACGGAAAACATGATCAACAATGAGGTGCGGGCTGGGCTGGGAGAGGTACCCACGCACCTCGGACGGTGCCCTCCAGGGGCCACCTTGCATGGTGGGGTGGTGGGCGATGGGGCTCAGTGGGTGGCTCACCCCACCATAAACAGGGGGTCCCGGGCGCTCCCTGCAGTCCTCCCGGCTCTGACCAGCTCCTCGGCTTTGCCCCTGCAGGTGATCGTCCACCTCCTGACGAGCCCAGCACCGCAGCGGGTGAGATGGATGTCCCCCTGTGCTGACCTCCCGGTCCAGGGCCCTGGGGCCCCTTCCCGGCCTGGGAGGGACCAGGCCGCAGGACACACTCCGATCCTGGCCAGCCCCCGTGGCTCCTGCGTGCCTCAGTCTCCCCTTCTGTACAGCGGGGCAGGACTGCTAAGGGTTCTGTTCTCAGCCTTCCAGTCAGGGTTCTGGCACGTATCAGCTGTGACCCGGGGCAAGTCACTTAGGCTCCCAGGCCCCAAGGTCACGCCCACAAGCAGGAACCTCCACCCCCAGTGGACTGCTTATGCGCAGTGAGATGACGTGGGGAAGGCACTCCCCGCAGGCCTGGACAGAGTGGGTTCTCGATAAGTATTAGTTGGTTTATTTTTAAAGGTGAGGATGAGGGGGAGCCCCGGGATAACTCCCGGCCACGCTGTCTGCTCCCACCCCACCCCCCACCTTATGGCGGGGGCCTCCCAGACTGACCCGCTGTCCCTCCCTCTCCTGCAGAAAAAGGTGCACTGCGTCAACTTGGAGCGCGTGTCCTTCCAGCTGGGCCTCTACCTCAGCCCGCACTTCCTGCAGACGGCCCACACCATCGAGCTGGACCAGCAGGGCTTTGTGCAGGTATGGGGGGCTCGCCCCGGGCGGGCTTCGCTTCCCCGTCAGTACAGAGAGGAGCACTGAACTTCCCCCAGGGGGCGGGGAGCCAGCCTGGGGCATGGAGCAGGTGAGAGGAAGGCCTCGCTCAGACTGGAACGTCACCCCGTTAATGCCAGGCCTGCCAAGCCTTTTCTCCCGCCATCAGGACCAGGGGCAGAACTCTAGCGTGAACCAAGTCTACTTCTCGAGACCAGCAGGGGAGAGGGTTGAGAGGAGCTGACGGGGCCTCGCACGCCTTCCCTCCCCCTGCAGGTGAGCGTGTCCTCGCCCATCCCTCAGCTCATGCCCCGCCTGGACAGCTGCCAGCTGGACTTGGGGCCCAAGGCAGACAGAGTAGAACTCATCCAGAACCAGGTGGCCAAGGGCAGCTGTGTGAACCTGCTGTCCCCAGGCCCTGAGGGTGACATGCGCTTCAGCTTCCTCCTCCGTGGCTACATGGTGCCCACGCCCACGACTGGCACCCTCAGCTGCATCATAGGCCTGCGTCACAGGAATGGGTCTGTGGTGAGTGGGGCCTGGGGCAGGATGGCTTCCGACTCTCGGGTTTCCAAAGCAGGACATGGCAGCCCAGGAAGGTGTGAGCCTGCGGGCGAGGGGGAAGCCCGCCGGGGTGTGGCGATGGCCCTTAGGGCACTCTGCTGCCACTCTGGCCTCCTCATGGCTTCGCTGTGTCTTGGACATTGGTTGGACTTGCGGCTGCAACCATCCACACAGTCACCCACACCCACCCCCCATCCTCCAACCACCACCTTGCCCAGTCACCCGCCCGCCCGCCCACCCACTCATCATCCACCATTTCACCCAGTCGTCTGTTCGCTACCAGCTCACCCATCAATCTGTCCACCCATCTGGCCAGCCAGCCACCATCCGTCTGCTGTCTCATGCGATCATTCACCTACACACCCTCCCGCCCACCCACCCAGCCATCCCACAGTCATCCTCGCCACCGGCCACCCAGTCACCATCCACCCGTCTGTCCCCCATTCCACCCTGTCACCCATCTATCCATGAAGTAATCTCAAGAACCAGGAGCCCTCGGGAAAGCATTCTAAGACAGAAGGTAAAATATTCCAACTTCTGCCTCTACTGGCCGTGACACTCCACCAGCCGTCAGCCCCCTCTGAGGCCTGGGCACATCAGTCTGCCCAGGCCCATGCACAGAGGGCTCTGGGGACCGGCTGCCTCTCTGGGGGCCGCTCCTGAGCAGGCTGCTCCATCAGCCGCAGGGGCTGAGCCTCTGGGCCGAGCCGGCTCCAAGATGTGTCCAAGGGTGATGGATAGCGCCGAGCACCCCGCGATCCTCACGGGAGTTGGAGGGTCTCCCAGGAACTCACAGAAGGCAGATCACCTGCCGGACACCTCTTGCAGCCCGGACCTCCCGGGATCTGCCCCAAGGGTCTCTGCTGCCAAGTATAGGGTGGGCTTCCAAGCCAAGGCCCCAGGGCGGCGGAGGCAGGCCGGCCCACGAGCCACACAGCTCTCTCTTCCTCCCCAGGACACCCTGAGGACCGCCTCCACGCGCCTGAACATCGTTAGCCCGGGCGTGCCTGGTGAGCTCTCTGGGGCTCCTTGGGGTGCCAGGGCTGGGGGGGTGGGGCCGAGGCCCATGGCAGGGAGGACCCTGCGGGACGGAGGCCTCGGCACTGTGGCCACCTGTGGGTGGGGGCCACGCTCTGGCTGCCTCCCTCCCCGTGGATGACGTTGCTGGGGGCTTGGGCTCTCATGACCAGACCTAACTGGGCGGAAGTCACCTTGAGGGCAGTGCTGGCCTCACCTGAAGGCCCCTGGCAAAAGTCTCTGAACTCTGGGAGCAGGAATGGAGAGGGCACCTGTCTCGCTACTACCCCCAGGGCCGGGGGGTCCCAGAACCTGGGGAGCAGGGCTGGTAAGCCCGCTGCATATGCATAGAGGGGTGTCAGAGGGCCCAGCTCAGTCACCCAGGAGTCAGGAGTGTGACAGGAAAGAGCCTAGGCAAAGCCAAGAGAGGGGTGGTGAGCCCTCAGGGCTGCCGGGGCCCCCTAGCGGGGGTCAGGGGCCAGAGAGGCACAGGGACTGACCTGAGGTCGCAGGCGAGGCAGGGCGGGCTCCAGACTCCCAGGCCCCCCGCCCCCCAGTACGCTCCTCCCACGGTACCATCCCTCCTCCCTAAAAATGCGCCTGCCCGGCCTCTGCAGCCTAGTGCCACCGTGGGTACAAAAGCCCGTTTAGTAGCGAGGAGCCCGAGGCGCTGAGAAGGCCGAACCAGCGGCCGGGCGGGCGCCGGAGCGGGCAGAGCGCTAACCAGCCGCTCCCCGCTCGCCCGCACAGGCAAAACCCTGGCCCTGCCCGCCGTGCTGGGCATCGCCTTCGGCGCCTTCCTCATCGGGGCCCTGCTCACCGCTGCGCTCTGGTGCATCTACTCGCACACGCGTGAGTATCCCCGGCCCCCCCAGGGAGTGCTCAGGACCCCTGCACCACCGCCACCTCCTGGGGGAGCCCAGCCAAGCCTCTGGGGGGGCGGGGAGCCCGAGCGGGGCCCTGACCTCGCCCCTGCCCCCAGGTCCCCCCAGCAAGCGGGAGCCCGTGGTGGCGGTGGCTGCCCCGGCCTCCTCCGAGAGCAGCAGCACCAACCACAGCATCGGGAGCACCCAGAGCACCCCGTGCTCCACCAGCAGCATGGCGTAGCGCGGGCTCCGGCGCCCTGGGGCCGCCCTCAGCCAGCAGAGACTGAGCCCCCACCCGCTGGGGGCCGCCGCTCATGAACTCGCCGGGGCCAGGCCCCGGCACTCGGCCGAGGGACACGCCTCTGTCCCTCCGCGCCTCTCGGAGGTCTGCTGCCGGCGGGGATGCCAGCTTGGAGCACCTTGGGGTCCACCCACCCCACCCCACCTTCAGACCCCGTGGGCCCGGGGTGCAGCTGCCCAGGATCACGGAGAGACAGACCGCTGCCCAGATGGTCACTTTGCTGCAGAGACCCAAGTCACTGCCACTTTTTAAACCCGGATCCAGCGCTGAGTGACCGGGGCTGGGCAGGAGGTGAGAACTCCAAAGACTCTGTGCCCCCGGCCAGGCCACTGGCGGCTCCCCCAGGACAGCAGGTCAGCCGGTCAGCCCGGGGCACCAGGACCGGGCCCCGGCGGCACCCACGCCTGGACTGGCACAACTCTGGGGGCAAAAAGCCTGGAAAAGTGACCTGGCTCCTTCCTGCAAGTAGCACGTGGAGACAACTCCCGCCCGGCCCAGTGGCAGCGGCTGGGCAGCGGCTAGGTGCCTGTCCTGGATCCACCCGCCCCTGTATACTCACCACCAATAAATCAGACCATGAAACCAGTGCTGGGCTGGGAGAGGTGAGGGGTGCAGGGGGCAGCCTTGCGTTGACCCCTGGCTCTGGCTGACTGGCCGCGACTGGGCAGGTCGCGTGGCTTCTCTAAGCCCCACCAGTTTCCTCTGCAAAATGGGCAGGAGACCCCTCCACACCAGGTCTCTGTGGGGCTGCAGGGCGGTGCCTGGCCGGGGCTCGCCGACACGTCCACCTCCCCTTGCACAGACAGGCCAGCTGAGGCTCAGGAGGAGCCTGGCAGCCCGGTTCCTGCACAGTCCAGTTCCCGGGCCAGCAGCCCCGCTCCCCTATTGTCTGTGGAGCGAGCTGGAGGTCAAGAGTCCACCCTTTCTAAAAAACGTTAAAGGCTTTAATTCGCTCCAGTCACCTTCTATCTCCAGGCGCCTCCAAGCAAGGGCCCGCTCCTTTCCCAGAAGGCCACTGAGGAGGAAATCTGTCCACCAGCACCGGCAGGACCCCCGCCCGGCCAGGCAGCCAGCACAATGAGCTGGCTCTGGGCCGGGAAGCAGGTGGGGCCGGAGGGGACAGGGGCCGGCGGGGAGGTCTGCTGCAGCAGCCGGAGGACTGGGAAGCCCTCCGGGCTCGGCATCCTGGGCTCGCTGGGAGGAAGAAGAGGCCGAGGGCATCCTGGGCTTAGGGACGGAGGCTGCCCCATCCCAGCCGGCCGCCGCGGCCCTCTGTCCGGAGCCCAGGACCCTGATCCTCGTCGGAGTCAGGACACAGAAAACAAAAGGCACCTAAGAGAGGAGTCCATGGGCGAGCAGGGCAGGAGTCGGCTACTGGGACAGGGAGGGCTCCAGCAGCTTCAGGACCCCGCCCACCAGGTGCAGGCTCCCGGTGACCAGCACCTGGATGGCCGCAGCCTCCCGGAGTACGCTGGCCCCAGTGTCTGCCACCGGGTGGGTCAGGAGGCCCCGCGGGGGACCAGGTGGCTGAAAGACAGGGTCCCGGCCCTGGCTGATCCACTGTAAGGCGTGCGAGATACAGCTGAAGACGAGGGAGCTGGTGCTCTGGGCGCGGGGGGCGCGGGGGGCCAGCAGCAGGGACGCAGGTCCCCCCAGCTCCGGCACGGGGGTGCCCCAGAAGTCCAGGCCAGCCCGCTCCCCGTCCAGGCGGCTCCAGAGCTGCTGGTGCTCCAGGCAGCGGAGCAGCACGTGGTCCAGCGTCACTGTGAAGTTCTGCTGATCTGTGGGGTGCGGGCCGGGGGGCGGGGGCTGAACACCAGCTCGGCTGGGGACCCCTTCCCTGCCACTGTGCTCACAGTGGACAGTCTGGGGAAACTGAGGCTCAGACAGCCCAGGGACTTGCTCGCTGTCACAGACTGTGAGTGGCAAGGCTGGGGCTTCTGCCCGCTGACAAGCCCCCTGCCCTGGCCTCGCAGCCTCTCGCCAGGCAGGCTCAAGGCTTTCTAGGAGTTTAGCTTCTTGGAGAGTCTCCCCCGCCCCCCCACAACCGGCTGCTACAGGACCTGGGAATCTGTATTTTCACACCACTATTTTATGATGTTGTAAAGTGACCCATGGTTAAAAAAGCACATTTTACAATGACAACCCAGTGCACGTGGCGGGAGGGGGAACCCCTGGAACAGTGTAGTTATAAAAGGACACCGAACTTCTCTTATTTCCTTTAAAATTCAAAATACTGGCTGTGACCCACTAAATTGATTCCAAGAACTTTCAGTGGGTTGCAACCTGCATTCTGAAAAGCATTTTCCTGATCATCCTTTTGCAGTGCTGCAGTCACATGGCATAAAATTCACAACTTTGTACCAAAGTTTGTTTCTATAGTAAAATAAATCTGCCTCCCACCCCAGACCTCCAGTTCAGAAGCCCCCGGCTCACCCACAGAGCAGCCCAGCTCCGGGCCCCTGTCCCCCAGGGGGACAGGACTTCCTACCTGCATTGCCGGTGGAGGACACCTCGGTCAGGTTAGGGCAGAACACAGCATAGTCAAACTGGCAGGGCTAGGCGGCCAAGGGAAAGCCTGGTGTCAGCGGAGGCCCCCCCAGCCCCCCTTGAGCTCACATAGAGACCCCATCTCTGCAGGTCTCCCACCCTTACAGCCCAGGGAACGCTCAGGAAGACCTCAGGAGCAAGCACCCTGAGTAACAGCCCCATTCTAGGAAGCGAGCTGAGGCTCAGGGGAGGCCAAGTCTGGGCCAGGGCCAGGGGCTCAGCGTCGGAGGGCAAGGAGGGCCCAGTCACCCCGACTTGAGTCTGGCCACGAGAATGAGGGCAATGGCCCATGACCAGGCTTCCCCCGCAGCCGTGCTTTTACATTTTGTCATCGTTACAAGGCAGGTGCCGGGAACCAGATCTTTCTACAGTTGAGGAGACAGAGTGCAGGGATGAAGGCGGTGGTGGGGTCACGCAGCCTGAACCAGGGCCGGGCGGGGGCAGCCGACCCCTCACCTGCAGCAGCTTCAGCAGGGCAGCGGAATCCCGGTCCCCGGTAGAGTTGAAGAGCAAGACACGCACCTCAGGTCCGCTGAAAGCACAGAAGGGCCACTTACTCCTCCCAGAAATCGCCCTTCTCCACCCCTGGCCCGGCCCCGCCCCGCCC